AAAAATGGATGGAAAAATTTATATACTACAGTCATATGATTTTGATTTTTATGTTAAAAAATGGGAAATTTCAAAGGCTAATATAATAAATACCTATGTATCCAACACCCAGAATGAACAGATGTTAACATTTAGTCATATTTTCTACAAATCTTTGCTTTTAAATAAAGAAAATACTAGAGGTAAAGATGAAGTTTCCAAGGTTCTTCCTGCTCCAGCCTCACATTCTTCCTCTGTGGCGACCACTGTCGTTAATCTGCAGAGTATCTACTCTGTATGTTTTTCCCAGCACTAGTGTTATTAGTTTTGTTTACCCTGACTTTGTATTTAGTGCACTTAATAGGAAGTATTATATATGTGTACTTCTCCACATATGCCTTATAATATTTACAACACATTAGTTGATGCTGATTCAAAGATACAATATTTCATGATATAGAACTATGGCTTAAAATAACAAAAGGAGAATTCACTAAATTATATCTATAGATTCATCTAATCTTCATTATTTTGGATAAAGTCATAAATGTTAGATACATCTTCTGGTAGAGTATTTCCATAATTAATAATTTATATATGACCATGAGATATGAGTAGATATTTAAGTCTTGTATATTAATGTATGCTCACACTCTGCTCAATACATAGTAGTAAATATTTGCTGGATGGATGAGTAAATGAATGAATATTATTGATTTTTTTTACTTTAGGAATCAATCTTTCTTACTGGGATTTGGAGATAAAAGTTAAACAAATTTTATTATGATTTATGGTTAGCTATTACTCGTAAGTCACTCAACATTACCTGTTTAAAATATCTTAATATTTGTACAAATTTCAAATATCTTGTCACATATTTTGTGTACCTACCAGGATTCTTGAACGTTGCCTAAATTAGATTGGGGAAATAATATAACTGTGTTTACATTATTTATGCTGATGAGCATCCCTCAGTTGTAAATAATAAATTCATAGTACAATTGCTTGTAAAAGCATATATATTAATGGAAATATAAGTATTTGTGGTGGACATTTTATCTTAGATAATGAGTATTTTGATGTTCACATATCTTTAATAATAATACAAATGTCTTTTATTATAAGATTCTTATCATTCTATAGACAATATTTTATGACATTATTAGTCTGTTTATTAGCAATGCCAACCTAAGCACTAAAATTAATTTAATTCATTGGATTCACACCTGGTTGCAGTATGGTTTTTCCTATGCACAGGGGAGAGCAATTTGACTGGAGATCTTATTATGAACTTGAAGACTATAGGGCAATTGATAACAAAAACAATTCTTAAAGTTTTTGTATTAAAACTTTAAAAAACTCTTCAGTCTCATCCAAGTAATTTCAAATAACTACAGAATTACTATAATTTATTCATTTTAAGTTTCACAAAAATTAGAAATATATATAGAATAAAAGCATCCTAGGACAAGTGACATTTTGAGGTCATTATGAAAGAAGGCATTTTTTTAACATATGAAACCTTCACTACTAGAGGGATGTTTGATGTCTCATTGCAATGCTTTGATTTCTCTATCTAAACTATGTCTCATTGCAATGCTTTGATTTCTCTATTTATCTAATTCTGTTGTGATCCCCATGGAATGTTTTTTGAAAACAAGAATGCCAAAGGCAATAATAGCAGTATCATTGGTCAATACCTGGTCAATATCTATTTATCATAGCAAAAACATGATTGTTTTTGAAAGTTCACCTAGTTTGTTGTTAAGCCTTAGTGTATTTTAAACTTACTTTACTGTAGTGATTTTCAAAACAGCAGTATTCACTTATGAAATTCTTACACTTTTTAAAAATATTACCAGAGTATATGTGTGCTTATCAGAGAGAGACAGAGAGACAGAAAGGAGGAGAAAACACTGCTCAGGGGATTGTGGTCATGCCACAGTCCCTTCTGCCTCTATTTCTCCATCCTGTTAGGATTTGGGTCATGTACATACGCATGTCCAAAATGTTCTTTCTAACTACTTGGGCCAGGATTTGAACCATAGTTGGCTATGTGGGATCTGGCTCCCTTAATCACTGGGCTAGGGAGGAGCCCTCTTATCCTTTTTTGAACCTAGGTTTTAAGCCAAGTTGCATAACACCAGGAAAATATATTGGGATTCAAAAAACAAAATTACAAACTGTAGATATTATGTTTGTACCTACATATTTAGGATGTCTCATCTGAATTTTAAACAGTTCTTTTGAAAATTGGAAGGTTAGACTATATTTTCATGAAAAAACAAAACATGGAAGTGTGAAGTCATACAAAATGAGCATTTTCTATGCTTCGAGTAGTCAGGAGCCTATTAGTTTGCACAGTAGTTTATCCTTTATGGTGCAACATTTCCATACTATATGTACTTGTGTAGTTATTCCTGATAGTGGAGTTTATGGCATATCTAGAGATTAGGACAAGTTTCTTCACTATTTCCTTGACTGAGTGAAAATTTCTGAATGATTTTAGAAGTACTTTTTTTCTTGTTGTTCAGAGGTTTATGCTATAGGGCGCATGCGCTCTCCAGAAAGCGAGAGACAGAAAGTGAGAAATCACTCCCCGCGCACGCATGTGCGTGTGTGTGTGTGTGTGTGGCCACGCCGCAATCCCTTCTCCTCTATTCTCCTCCCGGGATCTTGGGCAATCCAATATTACAAACAATCCAATATTACAAACACTAGCTAGTATTTATAGGTTTTGCAATTTTTAGTCAAATTAGGCTTCTTCTGGGCCCAAGAAGTACTTTTTTTTTTTTTTTTTAAGAGGTTTCTTGCACTTGCCAGACAGACAGAGTCAGACAGAAAGTGAGAAATCACCCGCGAGGGGGGATGTCCACGCCACAATCCCTTCTCCTCTGGATCTTGGGCACACATGCACACGCGCTCAGCCTGAGTTTTAAGCCACCGATCCAGGACGCGAATTGCGGGACTCCAGCGACATAGCTATTGCGCTAACTGCTGGTCCCCCTAGAAGTACTTTTAATATAATTCAGTAACTCTGTTTTTTTTTATAGACCAAAGGAATGACTATTGGTTCTAGACAACAAAAATGACTATTGGGCTATCATTTCTTTTTTCTTTTAAGAATTATTTCATTTTATGTATTATTTTTTTAAAAAAACATTTACTTAATTCCATTTGTTATTATTTTTAACTTGACCAGAGAGAGAGGGAGAATGAGAAATGAAGTCGCCCAGTCCAGGACTCCAGCCGTAGTTGGCCATGCACCGTAGTTGGCCATGCAGGAATCCAGAGCCTTTAACCACCACATCACCTGCCAGCCCTTATTTTATGTATTATTATTATTATTTTTAATTTGGTGAGAGAGAGAGAAAGTAAGAAGGTAAGCTGCTAATAAGTCCATGACTTGAACTGTGGTAGGCCATATTGGAGTCCAGCACTTTAACCACCAGGTCACCTGCTGGCCCCATGGGCTGTCATTTCTTTATGTATAGTTGTTTTATGCTGGGAGTAAAAAATAAATTAAAATTTTGATTATTGTACAGAAAAAAACACATGGTAAACTACTTGCAGTCTCTCATAAGATTGGGATTTTCAGGTATAATTGTTATCTTGTTCTCTTGGACCCTGTATCACTTTTAGATTGGTCATCCAATAAAGTTTAGAACTGTTAGTAATTTAGTTATTTAGGTAATTTATTTCACTTGTTATTTCTGTAGTAAGCTCATTTAATTTTTCTGTATTTAGCTCCAATAAAACAAAGGGAGTGCTAATGGACATACTATA